ATATTTTGCATTTAAGAAACATTTCTCTACTGTCCAAGTAATAAATAGCAAGAGCAATCAAATAGACATTTAGAATGTCACTGATGGTCTTCAGAACAAAAACGATTAGCAAAATTAATAATATAATTTGAAAATGTCTGAATTAATGTTTTTTTCCAAAGATAAACGTAGAGTTTAATTTATTTTCTTACATGTCCTTTTGACATTTTTGTAGTTATTTGTTTGCATATCACGAGGGACAGCAAATTCAGGTATCGGCCCAATCGGCAAAAGTTCTAGTTGCCCCACTACTTCAACATTTAAGAATGCTTACTTTTGTGGTCAAATATGCAAATTTTCCCCAAGAGGAGTGAGAAAAATTCACTTTCAAACAAGCTGCAGTGTATTATTAATACATGAATTAATAATATCAACTTATTCTTAGAATTATTACATATTTTTTTCTAATATTGTAAAGAGAATTTCCTTGAAAGCTCCCATAAAACTATAATTCCTTACCTTTCAAATGAATTGCCTTGTAACAGAAATAGGGTTTCACAACAGGAAAGCAAATATATATTATAAAACTATAGGCAAATTCGTTCCTCACGGACCTTAAAATTTTTGTCTCCAGTTTATGGAGTTTTGGTTATCTCTTGCCAACTTGGAGAGCTTTTAGAAAATTCGAGAAACATACTTTCGAAGCCTTACGGTGGATCCTTCTAGAACTTCTAAAAGCTCAAGTTATACTACATAAATACGATTTCAAGAGCCAGGGAGTTCAGTTCTGAATCAACTGAGATTTAGCGGTTGATTGACTTGCGACTTGGAGTTTACGATTTTGAGTATTGACGATATTTCTCGTGCGCTAAAACGAGCTTAATATCCGCATTTTCCAGAGCTATTTCTAACAACAGTAAACGTAACGAAGCTTTGATGTATTTAGTTCAATTGGTTAATCTTAATTTACTTGCAGTAAAAAATATATCGATACATTGTATAAATAAGTTAGCAAATGCAAATTACGTCACTGCAAGAATGTCTTAAAAGTACATAAGGGTCTAAAACATGACGCTATTTTTGTTCGTTTTCCCTGTTACGAAATAAGATTGTAAAATCTAAACAGAATTAGTACTGATTGAGGGTTTTTGTTGTACAATGAATGTCATCGAAGTGTTTATAAGGCTGTAAAACAGCACACGTTTAATCTTCAGCTGACAGCGAAAATTAATTTTTTCCCCCTCAAACTGACCGGTTCAATTCCGCTTGCCATTGCAATCTACTATTACCAGGCGATGTTACAAAATAAGCTATTGCGTTCCCACAATCCAGTAACAAATACGTTGTCAAAATTACATCTGTGGAATAGATTAAATAGTAACAACGGATGCCATCTGGTACTAATACAGAAAATGATTATGTGTTATAACAAATGATGCAATCATTTTTCCAATTTTATTTTCAAGAGTCTTCTTGACTTAGATGAACATGCATGCTTTTTTTTTTTTAGTTTAAACTAAATTATTTAATGACTAATTAAGCATATTAGAATTACTTAAAACAAATGTCAGTCTGAAAGTTTAATACTTAGTTATCAATATATTTGAATCACAAAATGCAACTAAGAAAAATGTCTTGCAGGTAGCAAACTTCAGATTTCAGATAGAAAACAAATTTTAAATATTTTTAATTTTGCTAATAAATTATTTTATTTTGTTTCAAAAAGAGAAAAAAATCTGGGTAGTCAAGTGTAGATACTTTTGATCGCGCATGCGGCCCGCATCCAATTTGAGTTTGAGACCACTAACCTACTTACTCTCTGATTGATCTGGATTATAATTTTTAATTCATCTATGAAATACACTACTGTGCCGTTTCCAGATTTTTCCGAATCTAGTGGTACAAATTCAAAACTTATTAATTAAATACCGTGACTAAAACTAAATGGTAATTGCTTTATAATGTTTTCGGTGCAGAAAAACTCAGTTCCCCTCCTCTTTAAGTTACCTATTTGTAAATTAACATTTTCTTGATGTCTGAAGGAGTAAATGAGTTCCGTAGAATTAAACTTAGTCACTTATTTTAGCAAACAGGTGTACTTGTTAAAAACGTTTATATTTTTTAAAAATTATTTGCTAATTTGTCTAATCTTTATATGTATCATAATAAGAATGAAGAAATTCTGCTTTTCGGCTTTAATTATAGTATTTGAATTTTTTTCTTTAATACCATACATCTTTCTTGGTTTCATATTTTCCCCCTTGAAGCTTGACTGGAATCATCACGTTCATACAATGGGTAAAAAAAGTATTGGCAATTGCATATCATTGATCATATTAGCTAACAAAGAAAATGGTGGACAATTTTAGCTTGACATAACGAACACAGTAGGTAATTAACACACAAATATAAAGAAGCTTTCATTTTAATATGCCTTTTACACAAAATATGAACAAAAACATAAATTTGCATGTAAAAAAGTATTGGCAGAGTTCTAACTGCTATGCAAATTTTGTTGCTTAGACGTGTTTAGACTGATAACAAATCCTGTTAATATAAAGTCTGTAATGCTCTTTTGAAACGTTATTTCGCTAATACTGTTATAAAATGTCTTTGAAGTCGAAGGAGTTGTATTTTAATGTTAAAACATGATTAATCGGCTCAGAAATGAGGTTTAACTTACCATGCTATAGGAATACAACTGAACATAAGTTTATTTGCTGTCAGAAGTGTTGTAGAAAAGTTGAAAGAGATAGAGGATCGACAGAAAATAAGATCAGGAGTGGACGAACTCCTGAAAGGAAAAAACGTGGCATTATCAAAGAGGTTTAGAAAACCCTAAAATAAGTGCATGCCCAGATAGCCAAAGATGTTGCTAATACCTCGCATAAAGCTTTTAGTGTAGAGACTCTACGAAATGTTTTATATGAAAAACATTTATTATGGAAGAGCAGCTAGAAAGAAATCTTTCATTTCAGAAATAAACTGAAGAAAGAGATTATATTTTGCAAAATCTCAAGTTAATTTATCAGACGAGTTTTAGAATACACTTATTTTCTCCGAGGATTCAAAGTTCGTATGTTCATGCATCGGGAAATACGTAGTTTACGATTTACGACATAACATGTTCATGAGGAGGTTACAGTTTATTAAGCTAGCTTTTGCATCTACTTGGCAAAGATGTTTGGTGTCTGAAAATTCGTAAACTTTGCATTTTCTGTTATATAGTTGCAAGCTATCTTTTCCAAAGAATGCACTATCGGTGTTTCGCGACTTCATTAGTCATTATGATAATAACTGTGAAGGTGGAAAAAATCGCAGTGTCAGATACACCAATGGTTATGAGGCACAAAGCAGAGACTTCATTTGATAGCTTAGAATTAAATTTAAGAAAATACATCACACGAGAAAAGTGTCGGGCCTGTGGATACTATGATGTTTACGGAGACATGGAAAAAAGTGTGAAAATGGCGAAATTACTTCTGACAATGTTTCAGCAGGATCCAGAAGTTATTAATTTAATAACATAGATAGGCGATCATGAGCGAAACATAGGTACACCTCTTCGATCCTAAAAATAAACAATATAATATGACTTGGAAACACATTTCTTTACCTGTAAGCAAACAGTTTCAGCATCATTAGCCCAAATAATGGTTATTGTTTTTGGGGATGCTTTAAGGCAGCTGATGATTCATTGATTGCCTTCAGAGTGTAAAAAACCTATCTGTACAGTTAACTGTGAGAAGGAATTGAAAGTAAACAAATGAGAAAGGCCTGGAAAGAAATTCTATACCATCACGCAATATGCCGTCATATAACTTTTTTTCCTAAGAAAACGGCTGCCAAGATTCGCTGGATTTCTGTTGTTAATTTTGCCCTTTATATTCGCTAGATCTTACTTCAAATGACTTTTTCAGTTTGAAAATCTAAAGAAAGATCTCTGTGGGATGAATTTTGCTTGTGATATAGCAGTTATGAATGCAATTAATGACAGGTTTTAATAGCATGATGATGAATTTGTCATACATGGATTAGACATAACGCGTTGTCATATTCAAAGATTAAAAATATTTGGCTAACTAAGCATTGTTTTTTATATACCATTTCATGAACACTTTGATCACCTTTCGTAAATATAAGCCCGCTTCCTTTATAGAAGTTTGAAAAACTTCCACTAGAAAACTCCAAAATGCGTCATTTGTAGGTTGATAACCCTCGAATATTTTAGTAGCAATACCAAACGTTACATTACAATAAGTAGCAATACAAACATATTAATTTATTTTTAAAGAAATATTTTGAACTGAATCTTTCTAAAAATAGAGTCGAAGAATTAATTTAAATTTTAACTGTTATTTTCTGGAACTTGAGTGTGTTTAAATGTGAAAACACACGGGAAAAAATTGATAAATTCGTGGGGAGAATGTAAACAAATCTCTTCAAAAATATATTTGTCAAAGAACTATAATTTAATCCATATTACATTTTATGCCTTTCTTAATTATTTTAAGGCCCACCAGCGGCCGAGCGGTAAAGTCGCTGAACACTGGTAGTTCGGTCCGAGGTTCGAATCCCGCTAACGGGCTGGCTGCATGGGTGGCTTTCCCCATGTGTAACGTGTATACGAGCCAGTTTCCCTTAGAAAGTCCTCCACGAAGGCATCCCTTCCCTTAGGCAGATAGCCCTAGTGTGCTTTGCCATAATTAAATACGCCAACACCAACTTAATTATTTTAAGAAGTATTCAAAACTTAAATGAACTTAATAACTTTGAATTACACAATTAGCTAGTAAGCTTTGAATTAGCTAGTATGTACACATAAAATAAGCTGAATTAATTGAATTCTTTTTAAAACATTTTAAAGTATTCTTTTGCCTCTTTTTTAAAACAATTTTTGTGTTTATTATTAATCTCTCTTAGCTGCAATCTTAATTTATCACGTTTAAGCAAAAGTGAAATCTGTATTCTTGTTAAAATGCATATGAAATGTGAGACAAGGGGAAAAAACGATACAAATATTTCATTTTACAAGCATTTAATTTATAAATCTCCATCCATAAATAAAATCTGTTTTCACAACATATCAATATACAATCATTTCGCGTGTAAGTTACAAAAGAAAAGAAATTTTACTAATACTGGCAAAGAAAGCAGAACATAAATGTAGTAATCGCAAACATGTTCAACCTAACGTTACAAAAATTTTTATGTCTAAAAAATGGTGCAAACACAAAAGAAAAGGCAAACAATGAAATTAGTGCAGTTCGGAAACAATCAACATTTAACGGCACTTAGATAATTCAGAAAAATGTTCTACGTAACAAGTAACTATATCTGCAAGTGAGTGAAAGTTATGTACTTCTTTATATATATATATATACAATATCCACAAGAAATTCGGATAACAATAATTTTGTCAGAATAATATTTAAACTCTATATTAATTATACATTTTACTTTTATTTTAATAATAATTCATGAAAATATGTGTATGTGCGTGTATATATGAAGTTAAAAATGTTGCATTCTAAAATTTAAAGTTTTTAAAAAAAGCTATAGAAACTTAATTTAAAGCTTTACGGAAAGAAATGTTACATTTTTAACACTAATAAAATGAGATAACAAAAATCTTGATTATATTTTCACAGTTTTCGGAAAATTTTGAAATAAGCAAACGGGATGGCTTCATGGGCATTTTCGTGGTTTTTCCCATGTGTAACGCTTATATGAGCCAGTTTCCCTTAGAAAGTCTTTCCCGAAGGCATCCCTCCCATTAGGGAAATAGACCTCGAGTGCTTTGTCATAATAAGCCAAACCTTAAGCTTTCAAAACTGAATGTTAAATGTTAAATTTAAAATAAATCATTCGATTCCAAAAAAAAAAAAAAAAAAAAAAAAAAAAACGTACATTATCTCTTATTCGCATTCTGTCCTTGTCTTAAAAAGTAAATATAGAAGTAATTTGCATTATACTCTTTTTTTTTAAACTCCTTATACAAATTTCCTGAATCATACTAATACTGAAACAAGTTTTAAATAAAGAAACCCACACTTTCTTATATTTTACGAAACCAGCAACATTGTAAAATGGATTTTGATCTATTCAAAACAGATTTTGATTTTAACTGAAATGTGTGCATATGAAAATTAAATAGTTAAACGTTTAGTGAAGTTAAAGAGTTCCACTTGACACCTGCTGCACGCAAATTAACAAATGCTTTACAATCTGCTACTATTCATACAATAACAAATACATAAAAATGTACTGTACAATACTCGAAAAAAGCATTTCGTGAGTATATGCTTTACCACAATTTTAAACGCAATATTACAACAAACAAACTTTAAAATTATAATTAGTGGATAAAATCTAAGTACGATTAAACTTATTTTTCTTCAGAAGTACATTGTTGTGTGCATCAATCACTTGCAGAGGAAATAATCTTAATAGCTTTTAAAAAATCAACCCTAAAACGGTAAGCAAGCTTCGGTATTCACCTTTACCTAACCTTGACCTACCTTTCAGGCAAATTCTACAATTGTACATTTTACACATACTCACAAAGCATGGAAGAAGACGACACATAATTAAAAAGGAAAAAAATAATAATAAATTCACCGGCTCTGGAGCCACATATACACTGGCAACTGGCAGCTTGGCTGGCAATTTAATTTTTCAATGGACAAGACAAAACATATTGAATATTATTATTGGTATGTACAAGAAATTGAACCACACTAGATTTGTGATTAGGTCATATGAGTTTATCAAAACATATTTATGATACTAACTCGGATGTACAGAAGACAAAAATAATACATTATTAAGGATGAAATTTCGTCTGTTTCAATGATATAATAATATGTTCATATAGTTTCAAGAAAATACACTTAACGTTTCAAGATAACTGAAACATAAATCTTACGAAAAAAAGATGGATTTGTAGAAAAACGTCATACACAGTAAAAAGACAAACATTACGCATAGAAAATATTTTACTGAAATTTCGCAGCAATCTTCGTCAAATATGAGATCAATAATTATGATTATTATCATAACCTTACATTTTTAACTGATCTTAATCGTTTTTGACGAACTGGATGCTATTTTGTCGCAGATTAGATTATAGTTAACTGCTTATTTACATCGATAGTTGTTTACAAAGTGAACTTACAAATCATATTTAAAATGATATTTCATACAGAATAAATCAAACTGATTATCAAGCGTCATAAATTCAAATTTTAAGTACGCGTACATTTACTCAGGCACATGGATTATTCTCCACCAGATATACAGAAAAGAATCACTGCGAAAATTCAGTTATGTTCTATAATGTACAGACAAAAAATAAAAACACACATTTACAATAGAGCAACAGAACTTGACGGAAGGAAAATTAGCAACATTTATTACAAATAATTATGTGAAAGCATAAAATTATTGTTAGTCAATATTCGTTGCTATTAGGAACAGAAACTGAAAAAACATTTCAAATTGAAAAAATAATGTTTCTAGTTAGCAAGAAGCAACTCTCGTGAATTTGTCTAAATTTTAACTGAAATCCATCTCACATAAGAGTTTTAATACTATAAAAAAAAAAAAATGCAATTAATAACAGTGTTACATATTTTGAATAAAATATTACAGATCGATTTGTTTGAATATGGCTTATGATCCACGTTATCCATCACTTTGTTTTTTTTTCTACGTAGTCTACGCCGTTCTACAAGGTTACAAAAGAGTAGAGGTATTACGTATGTGTGCAAGTTTTCGTTCATTAAAACGCATTCAGGCCACTTTGGAAGTGAGGTACATACTGCCTGAGGTATATACAACGATTGTAAGATAATTATTCCGTTTTCTTGGAGTTATCTGCAACAGTACACAATGAGGTCGTATGCTTTGCATACAGCAGTAAAATCACGAGGTACATATGATACATCTAAGATAGAAAATACTCATCTGTAAATTTAAAACATGAGCTAGAACTGTTGTGTGTTTGCAACAGCAAACCAGCGATGTCACGAAAGCTTGTCATTTCACTCCCTATTGGGTGTGACATACAAAACTACGATACGATGCCTGGATATTAAAGGAAATGGTCTGAAATATTTTTATGTATCCTTACAGTACCCGTATGCAAGTCAAGCATAATATTTTGCTTTTTAATATGCGAGAGGTAATTTAAGGTATTTAGAGCTCTGAGAGAGAATTGGTAACTTTCAAGCCACTGATATATAGAGGTAGAGAAGTTTAAATTCTGCAAAGTTTGAATCCTTCCGAAGAAAGAAAGGTAGTAAATACCTTTAGACAATTACAAAAGTACTTTAATGAGGGTTAAACTTACAAATAATACTCCTAAAACAGCTATTTAATAAAACACACGTACGTAAGAGTTAAACTTGATACCAAGTTAATTTTTTAGATTGAAGATGTACTTTTTATGTAAAAAGACTTTTCAATAAAACTATTAAAATAATTGTTAAATTTATGAAAAATTAGAATAAGTCTTAGTTTTATAGAAGCAGAAGTCATAAGTGATTAATTCCCAAACAAATTGTATGACTATTTTTGCATGAAAGATCAGAAATTCATTTATGTTGTATTCGAAACAACATTCATTTCTTAAAATGTAGTACATAAGTAAAATTAAACTATATAGTTTGCATAATATTTTATGTGAAAATATTGACTAATGCTTCAATATATATTTTGGATTCATTATAACATTTTTATTAATTTATGGTAAATTTTACTTTATTTTGCAGGAAAAAATTCAGTATGAACTTAAGCTTAAATATACGAAGTGCCTTTATATAAATTTAAATAATGATTTTATTTCTCTTCTTTGAATACTAAAATGTAAACTGAATCAACACGAAAACTGAACATTACTCATCTACTATTTTAATATTTTTCCTTAACTAAGACGAATTCTAAGATTAAATATCTTCGAATGCACACGTTTTCCAATAATGTAATTAAAAAAACAAGTTTTTAATTATCAGAAAATCATATTATGTCTAATGACATTTGATAAAAACGATAACTATATATACATCTTTTGCAAAAGAATGTTCATGCAGCAAATAAAATAGCTCTTTTAGATTACTAGTAAACAAAAATGAAATTTTAAATTATGTATTCTTTCTTTCTGTCTCGGAAGGAGGTTTAGCTGAAGCTCAGAAAAGAGTTGCAGAACTGTAAGCGATATTCCCTTGAGTAAATTTGAGGTTATTATGCAAAACGCGTAACAAGTATTAAGTGTACACAGCACGAAGAACATTTTCATAGTGGCAGGTTAATTTTTCACAGATATGTTTCTTTACCAAATTCACGAAAAATGAGAAATATATACTTCTCCTTGATTTTTTGAACAACTATTAACGAGCTATTGACATTTACTTTTTATTTTTAGTTATCTAAAACTTAAAACTACCACTTATTCAAAGTCAATTAATTCTCTGTTTCATTGCAATCTAAATTTTAGTAACAATTCAATAAATAAAGTTTTGTTGGCAGCATTGAAAACATTTTAATGCTAAGTGATAAGGAAGCTTCTGGTGGAATTTTGTTTTAAAATCAGCTGTAAAAGCTCAAAGCGCTTTTCTGACTGTTAATCCTGATAAGATTTAAGTAAAGTTCAATCATAAAAGGCTGTCTATAAAATTAATTTGATTTCCTAAGCCAAAAAGAAAAATTTCTTACTCAAATAAACAATTACTACAACTAAGCAAATAGAAGCTTCCCAAACTTATTTCCCAGAGCCACATAATTAAATATTTTACTACAGAGAAAGAGGCACTCAGGAAGAAGCATATATGGCTCATCTTATACATGAAATAGTACATTACTTTAAATTCAATACGATTTTTAACTCTATTCATGAGGTACCATTGATGATTGTACAGAAAAAAGGGGAAGACTTCACAACCCAGATTTTTATTATGATCAAGCATGTCGATTCAGAAGCTGACTGATACAATTAATAATATATACATTTCGAAGCAAAATTCCTATGCTCAAGTTCCTTCCTAAAATTGTTTGCTTCATGTTGTCCAGCTAGTATTTTTAAACTACATCAGTTATTTATTTTATTGTAAAATTCTGCTGACTTTAATTCTGAGAAAACTGGAAAACATGTTGTTCCAAATTTTACAAAATTTCATTTTAAAGGTGAAATTATTTTCCACATGTAACATATCACACATATTCCCAATTTATATACAATTTTCCCACCTAATTCTTTTGTCTTTATAGTATAAATCTGCAATATTTTAATATGAATGTGTTATAAAAAGCTTTGGAGGGTGTAATTTACAAAAGTTTAACAAATATTATACAGGGCATGCAATTTATGATAAAAAATACTTCAAAAAGAAGTAATCAGAGACATGTAAAATAATTAATAATGTATGTGTTGTTCATAATTAATAATGCATGCGTTGTTCATAAAATAACTAAAATAAGAAAGAAATAGCTTCTTAATTACTTAAAATATTCATTCATACAAGATATAAACTAGTAAATGTAAAATGAAAATTTGATTTTATTTAAAGGTATGGCTTATATTTATGTGTTTTTATATGTATATAAACATGGGTAAAATATATTTGGGTACACAATATATCCCTTGTATCTGTAGCAGAAATGACTGTGTTATTTTTGTACTCGGAATCTATAAGTTCGACACAACTTTAATATTAATGTTTTATCACGTTTTGGCTTAATATTGTGAATGATAAGATTGGAGTATGTTATTGCACACGTGACAGCATCGGAAATGCTATTTCCTGAAACATTACACAAATTTTCAGGGGTTCTTTTGAACAGTCAGCTTCTAAATTAACAGTTCACTTTTGTATGAAATCTCTAAATACATGATACAAAGAAACAATACACACAGCTATTCTTAATAAAGTGAGAATACTGACATTATGTGTGTGTGCAAGTGTAACAGCTACACCGCAAATACAAGATTAAACAACGTCACCATCACATAATTACCACAAGACGTTCTTATTCGTCTTCATCACAGGCACTTGGAGAAATACAAAACAACGGTAGACGCTTACAAGGATAAGGGATTTTTCCAGAGGAAGTTATTAAACGATTCTACCATTTTAAATCTAAGATACATAATACACTGATTATAAACAATTTACACAATTGTAAATAACTCTGCTTTGCTACAAATAGCGGAGCAGATATTTGTTTATATGTTTAACAATTTTTCTCATATTCTATCATAACTTACATCAGATATAACTCTTTGCGAATAACTTGAAGTTAAAAGTAAAAAATGAAAGGAGAGTTACCACAGAAAGTTAAAAGTATGCATTCCCTTTTTTATTTTGCTTTGTAAATGCAGAATCTAAAATTTAAAGATTTAAAAGAATTTTTCTTTTTCGGGTGAAGCATAAAAATAATAACCTCCAGAAATACAAGATATAGGAAAACATTTTGCAGAAAAAAGACATAATTTCCGAAAAGCCAAATACATTAGAGGTGAAAAAAATAACAAAATATATAATGGACTTTTTGCTTGCAGCTTTATGAAGGACGTAGTAGAGGGCAGACAATCTTTTACAAAGTGCCTACCAGAAATTGCTAATACATGATAGGAAATTACAGATTAAAATTAAATATAACTTCACGTATATATATATAGCTTCTAATTTTTTATCTAATATGCTTATTCAATGTGTAATACTTAAAATGCAGAATTCTGTAAGTGGTAAAAGGAATGCATAATGAAGAGCTGTTTTTCATACAGATTTAAATCTACAAATGAGATACAAAATACAACATGTCTGCTAGTCCTCATTTTTCCTTTTTATTAATATTATAACGAGAAAGCTTAAAATGCGGAAGGTAACAATTTTAAATGAAACTCATATTTAATTTTTATTCATCTGTGCAACGGCTCCGAAAAAATAATAAATGGAAGTTAAAAAATTCACAAAACGATGTGCACTTATTACAATTATATGAGATAATTTACTCCTAATTAAAAATTACATAAAACACGGGAAAGACAGCTATCATAAACTTCATTTATTAAAAGGAATAATCCGTCAAGTAATATAAAAATATGTGAAATAGATTAAAAATGGATTAAGAAGAATATCTAAAGGAAAGTTGAAAGAAAAATAAAAATTATTTCGTTTGTAAAGGCGAAATTTTCATTGGCATAACACAATAAACATCTCCAAATATTTAACATATAATAAAAATTAGTGTAAAAAATACTTCCGTTACATATAATAATGTGCTAAATAATTTAAGCGTTATGTTTAGTTGCTTGCAGATTGCATCGACTCTGTAAAGAAAAGAAAAGTAGAATAAGAAAACTGTTTTTAGGCGCTCATAGAAAAAATTTAAATATTATCTAAGTACCTATATTCCTGAGGTCGGACACAAAAGTATTACACAGTACAACAACACAATAAGCACATCAGACACAGAAAAAGAAATAAACAAACGATACAATGATTTTCAAAAGCATCATTTTAGAAAGTTAAAAGAAAAAAAAGGGATTTAAAAATAAAAGCTAATAAATGAATCACTAATTTACAAACAAGAACTTCATAGATTCTTCAACTTCTAACCTTTTTGTCTTGCAGAAATGAGCACTTTTTGATACAGATAAGTACAACGTAGTTTCTAAAAATTGCAGTCATTTCAATTTAATTACAACAATACGGATATTTTTGGCACTACAGAATTTATATATATATATTATATATATAGTCATATAAAAATGTTTACAGCAAGTGAAAATCATCTGTTTGACCTAAATATTCACATGTCACACAGAAAAAATAAATTTAATGGGCTAATAAGAATTGTGTCCACGAATTTAGTAATTATACAATAGTTCTCAACTATAATAACCGTTTGAGCGTTTTGAAGATAATCAACAAACAAACAAACCCGGAGCAAGAAATCACCTGAACAACTGCAAAGTTACAGTCCTTGATTTTTTTACCTACCTACCATATAAAATAATACTACACATTAATACATATTAATCAATTAAAAACGATAGAATGACTAATAAATAGTTAAACAATTCAAGACTTTACTTTTCCAATTTTTATTAATATAACTATTATAAAGTATTACTTTCTTAACTCTTATAGGTTCTAATATATGTTTTCTTTGGGTTACAAATTCGGCAAACAACTCAAATGCTTTCATTAGTTGCCTGACATTGCTTCAAAACATCTCAGATAGTACTGTAATTTTTGTAGAATTTTATTATTTAACTCGGCAAACAATAATTAAACAAAGGAATTTTATATAATCTATGATATGAATCTATCAGTTGATCAATTACCGAAACAGCAACTAATTTTGAATAACTATTATTATTATTAACCTAATGTATGCTTCAAAGACATCTAATTTATGAGATTTTAAAATACCAGATATAATAGAATAGAATGAAAATAAGACATTAAGGAAAATAACTCGTCTAAAACTTTAGGTAAATCATATTCAAAAGAAAAATTTTCTCTTAAACAAACCATTTCTTTATTTTTGGCAGGCCTGAATTTTTATTTGGACTGCTTGTGAATGCTCTCGTTTCTTGCTGCGGAGGTTTGTTTCTTTCTAGACAATTTTTTAAATAAAAGGTAAAAGGAGTCGATTTTTACGTTGTCATTTCTTTGGAGTCTGAATCTCTTTCAGACATAATATAGGGTGATCCCCCACTTTGGCTTACGACGCATTTGCGCATGTGCTTTTCAAGCGTGCTTGGCACTGAAAAAGGCATGTCACAGAAGCGGCACCTATAAACGTCCTTGCCGAGACGACCATGTGTTTTCATGTGCCTAGTTAATTTAGAACTCTGAGCACAAGCGTAACTGCACAGTTCGCACTTGTACGGCTTTTCACCCGTATGAGAGCGACGATGCACTGTAAGGTTTGAGCAGTTTTTAAAGACTTTGCCGCAAAATTCGCAAGTATCATTCCTGCGCTGCTGTTCTTTGGGTTTGACCAGATTATTGGCTAGGGCAACGCATAACGCTGAGCTGGGGCCGGGACGTGGACTCGAACTGCTTCGGCCGTTATCGCCGGAATTCAAGGCACTTTCCGTGGATGACTTGGGATGATGGTTTACGTGACCATCGAGGCCATAAATGTCCCTGTATGAAGTTTGAGAAGGATCCACTCGAGGATACCACAGTCCGGCATACAAAAGGTTTCCTTCTCGCTCTTTGTCTTTCCATTGCTCGTCCAGCCTCATGCGCTTCATACTAAGAGGCTGGTCGAATGAATCTAAAAGATTTGGAGCGAAACTGAGAGGAGACTGGCCAGCACTTCTAGTGCCTTCTCGGGGTGGTCTTTCTGGATGATGGTACGAAGCCAAATCGTAACTGTGATGACTTCCTGCATCATTTGATGCACTACCATCAGTTCCGGAAGAATATCGCTCTTGCTTTAGAGAATTACGAAATGAACTTTCCTTGAGGGCTTGTCTGTAAGCTTCCTTATACGGAGGTATGAGACCGAAACCTACTTTCTCCATAATTTCACTGATAACAGAATGTTTTACAATCTTTTTATCGTGATTTTCGCTCTTATCGTTTTTCTTAGAAATCGCTCCATTTTCTAACTTTGGTGTTCCATTATTAGTTGGTTTTTTCGTCAGATCTTCAGCTACAAGAGCCTCGTCATTAGTAGAGTGATCAATGACTAATTTGCCTTCACCATTTTCCCTCAGACTTTCATCTTCCTCCATGCCATCAACATTGACTTCTTCCTCATCTTCCACTGCTTCTTCTTCCTCTACATCAATTTCCTCTTCATCTAGTTCCTCTTCTTCGTGATCATCAGATCCGTAATCAGCATCTCCATTCGTTTGCTTCTCCCCATTGCTACATTTAGTCTTACTGTCGGCTGGAGTACTTTTTGAGGTCACATCTTCTCCATTCTGATCTTTTTCGTTAACTTTATCAAAACACAATTTCTTTAGTCTGTGGGTTTTCATATGTCTCTTGAGCTTGCTTGCTTGCGTACAAGCGTGCTTACAAATGTGGCATTTGAACGGTTTCTCACCAGTATGCGATCTCCGATGAACTATGAGATTGCTTTTGAACTGAAACGATTTTCCGCAGTATTCGCAAAGTCTGTTTTTGGCAGGGGTTTGTGCATGATCGCTTGTCGTTGAAGACGCCGATGAATTTAAAGTCGATGGATGAACTTTCTCTGGAGGGGTCAAGGATGACTCAGGTGGAGTGGAAGGACGAGGACTCGTGCTATTATTATTGAAAATAGCTTTAAAATTCGGTTGGAGAAGATTTCGTGGAGTAGAAGTAGCATTCGGACTTGTGGCTCCAGCTAAAACTCTTAGCCTTTGGGAATAAAAATCCTGCATTGGTTCGCATTGGGAGATTTGTGGTGGTTCTAGCAGAGGTGGTGGCGTGGTACTAATAGGAGCGTTTGAAAGGTTGTTGGAAGACTTGCCGATGAGATCTAGACGCAGTTCCTGACTAGAGTTGCGAGGGAAAAGAGGTGCAGGGTCCATTTGGCGTTCAAGAAGAGGAGCCCTAAGGCTAAAAGAGTGATTTAAGGTGGACAGCGTTTCAAGGGGTTTTTCTATCTTATCCGCCGTAGGAAAAGTAGAGTCCACGCATATGCTGAGACCATGGATTTCTTGGACATGAACTATCAATGCCCATGCTGAAGTTAAGCTCTGCTTGCAGGTTGAACATACATAATTTCTTGGCTCTGAAATGAAACAAAAGAGAATAATTAATTTTGAAGCCTTTTTTCAGACAATAATTTAAAAAGTTAAATATGCAACATCCTTTTAAATGAGAAAACAAGAAGTTTAAAAATATGCATATCCCTTATAAAAAATCTAAAAAAAGATCACTGCAAAATTCCCAATAGTTTCAGTTAGCAAAACGTTTGTTGCCTGAATTTATGATGATGAGAATCTGCACTCGCAAATTACTAACAACTGTTTACGCTAAAAATTAATTCACTTCTTTAAATAGATACTCGTTCAGTAATCAAAGTATTTGATCAATAATATGAATTGTTAATACTTTTAAAAATCTGTGCTATATGCTAGGATACAAATAATAAATATAAATATTTTTATTTATCAAATTGCTTTACACTATTACAATTGTAAGAAACTTTTTACAATATTTTAAAAAAAAAATATTACTTGAATAAGTAGAAATTCGGATTACAAGTCCTTTCAGCAATGGTAAATAGTAATGGTCTATTGTTAGACAGATAAGGTAGCAAAGTTAAAAGAAAAACTTAAAAATGAACTTAAAAATAAAGTCAAATGAACAAAGTTAACTATTATTTTTGAAACAACCAAGCATCAACTTATACATTAAAACGTGCTTAGCTCCTCCATCCACCCTCCATATCCTGATAATCTGAGAAGTCCGAAATTTTGCGATCGTCGAAAATGGATGACTTGAGTTATCGAATAAAGACGAGGATGGATCATGAAGTGAGCTGAAAACGGAAAGGGGGATAGAAAACCTTGGTCCAGAAAATGAAAGTGTAGAGAATTCTTGGTCATCAAAACGCATCCATCAATGTCCAACGCGGGCCAGTCCACCCCTCAGACACAAATCCTACACTCGCCGACCCCCTATCTGTGTCTCTCGCATCTGCAAAACTGATCTTAATGAAGAAAAAACGATTTCTATTTTCATTTCCGCCCTATTGGAGGATCAGAGATCTGGGTGGCTCTGCCACGTTTTATTCAAAGATATCACTAAACCTAAACTTGAGCCATCCGCCATGTTTGTCCATTCATGACACACACGTTTCTCGTAAAGTTTACAAAAATTAAGAGTTTATTCCCATACGTCTCAGAATAAGCTCGATAATAGCTATGCCTAGAAAGATACTTAGTACCTACAGTTGCAAGACGCACATAAAATTTTAGGGAAAGGGGGAAAATGAAGCTAATAAAAAGAGGATACGTGAAATCGACATATTAATTTAATGAAAAAACAACAAGACTCTCTGCTTTGAATGCTTTTTTTCCCTCTCTCTCGCGGAAACTACTTACGTTTTACGCATGGTACTTTCGTTTTATGTAGGCTAAACCTCAAGAACTTCTCTTTAACTACTCCAATCCACAGGTTAGGTTAGGTTATTTGAATATGGCAAGCGCCACGAAAACTTTCTACTTAAGAGGTGGGACATTTTCGCGGAAGATTTTCTGAAGGAAACTGGCATGTATTAACATTACACATGGGGAAAAGCACGAAAAGCCAGCTCGTTCACGTGGACCTGATCCCAAACCAAATCGAACTACCAGTATTCAATGATCTTAACTGCTCAGTCACTAGTGGGGTCTAGTCAACAGGAAATCCACACGGGCACAAACGATCAGTATGCAATGACTTACTTGTTCAGCCATTGTAGACATCTGACAAGAAAGATTTAAAATTTTTAAACTATCGAAAATAAATTCTGTTATGCAATTATGTCTACTGTTACAATTATAACGGCACTATTCTTTTTACTTTCTACCACCCACAACGTCCACAGAAAGTAAACAAATATTCACTACAGTATCCGCTCTATTTATTGAAAAATATTCACTTTTAATGGCATTCTAGTACCTAACTCATTGGAAAGCATTTTGGATTAGTAAGCATGAGATCATCAAATCACTTTTAATCTCTAAAATATATCGATAATTTTTCGGGCAGATGAATATTATGGCCTTAAAAAACACGTGCAGTTCACTTTTACTAAAGTTTTTGTTACTACTTTCAAATTAGGGGCGTTGAAACTAAAAAGTCGTTTTTTGAGAGCAAGCGCCTTCAAGTTCACTAATGTTGCACCAGCCAATAAAGTGGTCAGTAATGGTGGCAATCACTATTTTGGAGTTCCAAAAGCTACCGCTGTAAAATTATGTTTTATTTTTCTTCCTTTCATTTCACGATATATCCCCTAAGCGCGGGTCGTATATTGAATTGCTGAATAGGAAGTTCCTCGGCTGGTGGCAAAGCGCAAATAATGCACCATCCATCAAAGTTTGGCTGAAACCGACGGACAGAGTGGGCGATTTTCAGTTGTCCACCTTCACTTGCTTACGACACGAATAAATGTATTACATCAAAAAACTACCTTTTACCATTAATGAGCATATTTGAAGAGTAAGGAGGCTAAACAGATAAAGAAAATACAGCACCTCTATATGCATTAAAAGTAGTCACGTGCTTGTATTTTCAAACTATGCTAAGACTAAAGCTCGAAGAAGATAATAAAAAAGTAAAATGACAATTTGCAGATATACCTTGCGTTTCTAAAGCTGAATTGTCTTTAAAAGACTAGCATATAAATATGTCGAACTAAGTTCTGTTTTTACATATTTAACGGGCGAAGGGGAAGGGATTTATTATAAAAGCCAAAAATGCTTTGGCCCATCGCCGGGTAAAAATTCGAACTTACTTTGATGGTTATCTCTCTCATAATCTTTCGCCCAAATCATTTCCAGCTTTGTGTTATCCTTCTGATAAACAATCCTTCTTCCTCGTTCTAAAAAAAGCTCAGATTATTTTGCGATTTTCGGCTCGTTAAGATGCTCTCGGCTTAATGTTTTTTCTCACCACTTATATATATGCATAAAATATTCTACATAACAATACAGTGTAAATATCAGTATTTTATATTGTGATTATTGTGATATGTATATGATTATTTCTAAATTCAATAAACATGTGCAATATTCTAAAATTTCAATTTATTTGATAACCACTCACCTATTTAAAGCATTTTTTTTTCACGAAAATAACTTAGGATTTTATGACAGTTGTTTAACTCATTTATTAACAAGTTACACGTTATATTACAATGATGAACGCACTAAAAATGTCAAAGATGTAACTTTCCATTGACGGAAAAAATTCAAATTTCTGCAGTGTAAGTGGTACCCTTACAGATAAGTCGCTTTTGATGCTAATGAATTTTTCATGATACAGCTAAATGATAGTTTTCCAATGCTCTTCTGAATAATTCTGGATGCAGCTGAGCAGTTTCCGTTTTAAGGCAATTTATTGCTACAGCGTTATGAACCAATCATATGACTTGCAAATTATAATTTAAATTTATTATATAACCATGCACTATTACATTAGTTTTTAATAGTATCTTAAAATAAAAATATTTTTATGACAGCTACCAAAAGCCTTTCAGTGACTTACAGGTAGTTCAAGATCGAAATTTTGGCAACTCTAGTTCTGGATAATATTTAACAAAGCCTGAGCAGACAAAATTTTATCATACACATTTCAGGAATAAAGGAAAAATACCATAATAATTGAGAAGACAAATGCGGATTTGATTTGGTACATAATTTAAAACCGAATTTTAATTAAAATATTTTTTGATTATGGTGTCTCCTTTGGAAGAACTACAGCCTAACTTTTTGGGTTTTGATTAACTGCTGTGCCACGAAAACTATCAAACTAGCAGGAGGGTTGTCTTCATGGAATGCTTTTACCCGAAACTGACTCATCTTCACTGTATATGTAAAATGGAAAATTCCCAGTAGCGAGTAGTTCTTGTTAAAACATTACTTTCATGAATATATAATAATTTTTCTAAAGCAAGAATTTTAATGATATTATTGCTCTAAATTCAGGAAGATGCAAAGAATTTTTTAGCGTTCTAATTCTTATCAAGAGTTTTAAACAAAATTACTATATTTGTTTAGTAATCCTCCACCCTCCCAATGCATGGCTAAATTGCGATATTTATAAAATGTTACATTTCAATAATCAAATAGTTCATCCCCCTTCGATAAGTGTTTAAAATATCCTTTCCCGAAATGTTACCTGGCATAAATCCCGCCTGACATGAAAAATAGACATCACACAAGTGAAAAATAACATCTTATTTTTGCATGATAATAAGCAATATTTTATTGTACGTGGAAGTTTAATTTGTGAAACGAACGATGTCATTACACTTATTTAACTATTATCATAAGGAACTGACCAGTTTTTTTTATTGCTTATGATCTAAAATTGTACATATTGTAAGGATCTTAAGTTTTACTAACGTTTATTTTATTTTAAATCTTTACTATCACTTCTTATTTTCTACTTCCGGCCAGAATTATAAGCGTTCAGGTTTTTATGCAAAGTTTGTCTGGCGAAAGCCAAGTATTTAAGTTGTGGCCTTTTGCCAAGCGAGAGAGAGGAAGCAGTGAGTTCGAAGCAGGCCGCTTACCTTAGAAGTTACGCAGTTGCTTGTTGTCTTCCAGGCCAGAGGTTTTAATCCTCTTGATAACTTTTAAACGTATTGTAGTGTTCTCAGTTATCTGTATTACATACGCCTTCCTGTTAACCCTTTGAAGGGCACCGGTATATAATATATACCGGTTGTTTGTCAATTTTTTAACCTCCGAAAAAGTGCTAACTTTTCTACACCAAAAGCTATAATCGTAAGTGTCTAGTATTTTCTTTCGATTCTAAATGGCAACATCACTCTATGAATGCTCAATATTTTACAGTTATGAAATTAATTTACGTCGTTCCAAGGTATCATGTTGGAAGATTGATAAATTCTATTGGAGGGAAAAAGAAAGAAAAAATTCAAAATCTGCAAATATATGACTACACATGCTGAATCTTACATATTTACTTCATTTCAGTCAGAAGTGATAATTAACAGCAAATTATTTATACGATTTTAAAACCGGTATATAATATATACCGGCGCCCACACTGAGGGTA